GCGAAGAAAACAAGAAACCTCAACTGATCTATTTACACCAATACCCCCCCATTACCATCCAAATTCGAAAAAAATTAATTTAAGCGCTCCTATCTGAAACTCTATATACAAGTAGAAACTCTTCGAGAAAATTCATTGAAGTTAAAGAAAACTTCTAACTAACGAATAGTGTACGAGATACACGAAAAACAAAGGAACCTCAACTTATCAAGTTACACAATATACCACCATTACGTTCCAAATTTCTAAAAAAAAATTAATCTAACGTCTGCTACCGAAATCTAGTATACTAGTAAAACACTTTATGAGATATTCATTGGTGCAAAGAAAACTTTATGCAGACAAATAGTTTACGAATAACGAGGAAAAACAAATGAACCTCAACTGTTATGTTAACAATACAGCCCCATTACGTTTAAAATTTCGGAAAAATTTAATATCAGCGCTGCTATCTGAAACTCTGTATACAAGTAGAACACTTAAGAGAAATCATTGGTGCAAACAAACTCCAAACAGAAAGAATAGTTAACGAGATACACGAGATCCTCAACTGATCAGGTTACAAATTTAACTCCGCATTACGTGCCGAATTTTAAAAAAAAAAATTAATTGAAGGGGTGCAATCTGACATTCTGTATAAAAGTAGAACACTTTAAGAGAAATTCATTGGTGAAAGGAAAACTCCAATTCAGACATATAAATACGAGATACACGAGAAGCAACCGGAACCTTAACTGATCAAGTTTAAAATACCCTTCATTTTGCGTCCAAATTTCTAATAAAATAATTTAAGCGCTTCTTATCTAAATTCTATATTACAAGTAGAACACTTTAGAGAAAGTCGTGGTGCAAACAAACTCCAACCGACGAATAGTTTACAAGATACACAGAGAAACAACGATCCTCAAGTATCAAGTTACAAAAAACCCCCCCCCCCCATTACGTGCAAAATTTCGAAAAAAATTAATTTCAGCGCGGCTTTCTATAATTCTGTGTACAAGTAGAACACTTTGACACTTTTAAATTTTGTGAAAAAGCAATGTCAAGGATATCTGGAGTAATGGTCTTATTATATGGATAAAGCTTGCAGAGCTGTTCAGCATTTTAGCTGTGCTAGTGTGCTGCTGATGTAATACTCGTAAATTAAGTACTCTTCTGTCAAAAAATATACTTCTGACATGTATCTACTAAAAAGCAATATTTATGCTAATATTCGTATAGTTCTGTAATTTAATATTTTTTTATTTCATTTATTCTATACTACATGTAATAATATGCAGCGGTGTATTCAGGGGGGGGGGCATTGCTGCCATGGTACCCCAAAAGTCTTAAGAAGTTTTTTTGTTACATTATTTTACTTGGTATAATTTATTTAAATGTTAAGTTATGTTAGAATTATGTAATTATTTAAAAAATAATATTATATATTATGATACATACACTACAAAAATACTCTGTACTAATAAAAGTGAATTCAACAACATCGATTAATTAATTTAAGTAATATATTTTTTTTAATTAAGCATACTACATGACAATAATTCAAATTGTCATAACTCCCTTGAATGCTTATTGAATGCATAATCAATTCCTGTAGTTGGTATAAGGAATTTTGATGATAATTTGTAATCTTAATGAAATACTGGTGTGTTTTTAACATATAAAGGTTAATTTGAGAAATTGATTTGGGAATTTGAGAAATTTATTTAGGAAACAAATTTTAAATCTATTCACATTTTTTATTTAAAAATTAATATTACAAATCATTAAACATGTTTTACAAAACTAATAATTCACTACATGACTTTAGCACTATTGTTAACACTTTAACATCTGTAAAACTACTACCAAGAGTGCTTTATTTCAGAAACAATTGTCCGGGATACAAAAATGATATTTACTGCACATATGAAAATTGCTTCTTCATAGTCAAGCTAAAACAAGAATTTGTGAATGTAGGCTTTTTTTTAGTTAGGAGGATAGTTAAATATTTTTCTAAACTTTAAAGAAATTCTAATTGCTGTCATGTGACAGATGCACATGTTAATAAAACCCAGAACAACTCCGTGCTTTACACCTCGAAACCCAACACAATTTATTGCATGCACATTTGTTACATGTTCAAATCAATAAACGCTGTTTAACTTGTTTTATACAGAAGATATACGTTTAGTGTGAATGATTTAGAGCCTATATCACTCTGCTAATTTTTAAATAACTTCACTATACTGTAGTTATAGTATATTCGTCACTACAGTTCCTTAAATAATCAACGCAATGAATACTAACAAGGTAAAGTTTTCAAAAGTATAATGCTAAGTGATTTGTTGAAATGTACACTTAAAATTTAAATGCTTAAAATTTACCATCAAATATTATTGCTGTGAATATTTATGTCACAAATTTTTGCATCTAGGTGTAAGGGATTCTGGAGCTCAAGAAAACGTGCGCATCTTTTTCTCCTTTACAGTCACATAGTTTTTACTGTTTGTTTGGTTTTATTTTGTTTTATTTTTTGACGAAAATAAATCAAATCACAAAACCAATTGATAGTTACCAAAAGCGAAGCTTTTCCAGAAAATAATAGCAGTATCATCCTTCCCCGAACGCTCCTCTTGTGCAATTCCTGTGTCCGCAACTGATGTTAACGAAGTCTGACTTGCAGCAGCAACAGAGCCGTACCGCTAAAGGAACTGTCGCCTCTTGGCCTTGAATCCCGCGCCCCGCCGTTCACTCCTGCTTGGGCTGCCACGGGCCGGGGGCCGGGCCAAGGGCCTGCGGACCTGGCTGCAGGGGGAGGGGGAAGGGGAAGGGAAAAGGGTAGGGCGCCGGGGGCTCTGCGAAGGCGCTGCGACCTTGCTGGGGGTTCGAGCCGCCGCCGTTCGAGTTGGGGAAGAAGTTGGAGAAGTTGTTGGCCGCGTTCATGGCGGCGGCCAGAAAGGCGTTCATGATGGACGAGAAGATGCCGGCCGCCTGTTGCCCCGCCGCCAGCCCCTGGCCCGCTGCTTGCTGCGCCACCTGCACAAGTGGCAGAGATTGCAAACTAACAATAGTTTCTAGTGTAACAGAAAGGACATCTGAAACTGGAGCGTCACGTACAATAATGAATATCGCGTACATTAGAACACACAGGCATTTACTCTCCGAAGGGGCATGGGGTTTTTTTGAGACCCCACAGCTATTATTTGCCTTGTGAATAAAGTATTAGTAACTATGACATCAACGTTGCAAATATCTCTTTCTTGTATTTTCATACAATATTCATATATTATAATGCAAGTTAATTTATTTCCGTGCCATAAACTCTCCTTAAACAATAGCTCGTAGGACGGAATCTTGGGATCTCTGAAGACCCCTGAGAAAAATCTACTTCGTTGTTATTTTGAATGCATAAATTAAGGAACCTTTCTTTCTTTTTCAGATGTTTATTAATAGTCTTTTGGTGGGAATATACGAGGCATGGTTTTTAAGTAAGTACCGTTTTGGAATTAAAAGGAAGTTTAAGACTAAAAGTTAAAAGAAATAAAGGCAGAAACTCCACAAGAAATATTCCTTTTCTGTCTCAGAAAACTGCACATGATTTTCCGGGCAGAAATTGTTTACCTAAACTTCACTTTTTTGGGTAAGGATGAATGTCGTCATTCCATAGACTGCTGTTTTGATTCTGGTGTGATGTAGGCCACCCATGTTTCGTCACCAGTAACAATTTGGCCTAAAAAATCTTCACCTTCATTGCAGTACCGCTCAAGAAAAGTAAATGCACTGCCTAAACGTTGCGATTTGTGCAAATCCGTCAACATTTTCGGAACCCAACGTGAACACAATTTACAGTAATTCAAGTTTTCGGTCACAATTCGATACAAAACACTACGAGAAACTTGAGGAAAGTAGTCGCACAATGATGAAATTGTAAAGCGTCTGTTTTCTCTCACCTTTTCGTCCACTTTCTGCACCAAATCTTCATTAACGACCGAAGAACGCCCATTCCGTTCATCATGCACATTTGTGCGACCATCTTTAAATGCTCTCACCCATTTCCTTACCATTCCATCACTCATAACGTTTTGTCCGTAAACCTCACAGATCTCACAATGAATATCGATCGGTTTTACGCCTTTAGCACTAAGAAATCGTATAACAGCCCGTACTTCACAATCGACGGGACTCACGATTGTCGGAAGCATCTTAAAAACTCAGTAAACGACGTATACAATGAAGAATCAGACTGTAATGGCGTCACTGCGTAGACAAGAGACGTAGGAAACCAGCGCGCATGGGCGGAACGCCGACCGTAGCGCTGCGGCGGCGGAATCGCAAAACGGTACTTACTTAAACTCGTATGTTATCGCGTTATTTGTCCAAATGCTACATATTTTGATTGTTGGAGGCTTGAATTCAAAATCAAGCGTTCCTATTATTGTGAACCTTTATTTCCTTTTTCCGAGTAATTTCCTTCGTTATTGGTTTTGAAACGCGATAGACTTCCAAGTGAGAAAACGATTTTCATGTATCAGTGAGAGACGAAAGTAGACTTCGTAGAAAACGAGTTGCACCTTATTAAGCTACTCGTATTTTACAGCTTTTGTTTGACGAGGCAATCAATGTGTCTAATTCTGCTTGTAGCAATAATGAATAGTTGCAAGTGAACGTGACGCGGAAGAGAGCATTTTGAACATGAGAGTAAAGAGGTGGAGAGCAGCGAACCTGCAATGATTCTTTGCAAAATTCATTCGGAAATTATTGTGGAATGCATGTCATGTTTGAAGAAAAAATATAACTTCGATAATATAGTAATTATGCAATATAATAAACGTTTTCATAATGATTCATGAGTTTCCTCCTAAAAGCTCAAAAAGGATTGAGTTCTTCAAGGTCCCACGTGCTCACGCGAGGACGTTTTTCAACGTACCCAGCACAAGGAACGTCAGGTGAAACTAAACGGTATTATGGCATGTCTTTGTAATCTGTAGCAGAAACCACTGTTGCCGAAAAGTTGCAATGACATGCAAGGGTGAAAATCCCGGAGTTTTACTTACTGACGTACTATGTACTTACGTAGTAAAGAAAATGTATTGAAAAGCTGCAGCGGAAATCAACAATTTTTTGGCAGAAAAACTCCTATTCTCAGGGCCTGGTAGCCAAAAAGTAGATAAATATTGTTTCTACATGTAGTAAATTACTACCTCTAACACGTTGTGTTGTCAGAATCAACGTTTTGGGGGCCCTTGATACTGAAAAATCGATTAACGGTAAAAAAGGCTGTCTTATATCTGTCAGTCCGTCTGTCTATGAAGACATCCGAAACCAATTCTACTAGACACTGTAATTTAGATACCACTGCTCTTAATTGTTTGGCCTGTCACGATTTTTCGTGCATCCAGGTAGCATGAATAACACAATACATTCATAAAATATGCCGAGGTAATTTTTAGACATTCACAACGCATAAAATGAACTCCGTTTAATCGTCTCGACCACAAAAGAAATTTCTAACACAATTTCAGCATGCTTTTCTTAAAATATCCTGTACGGATCCAATCTTGTTTAACCAAGGAAAGAAGATTCCTCTAAGAATTTCTTAAAAGTTTAAACTTTTGTGGAGATTATTTCCTTTACCATATTTTGGATTACCACAATATATCTGCTACCACCACGGAATGTATGTACTCCATCTATTTGCATGTATTGTTCAAACCCTTAAATCATCCTTTTAAACTCAGTCCGATCAGCAATTCTTTAATGTTTTCGATCTTAAAATTTAGTATATTCATACCTGCATAAATTGTTGCGGAACTTGGGCGAAAGACCCGAAGCCACCACCTCCATTTGGACGAGTGCTGTTTTGGTTCCCAAATTCAGATGCTCTTCGGCTCGCCAATGGTACTATACGTCCACACACCACCTGAAGGTCATTCGTCTTTAGCCATTCCTCAACAAATGTTGAGAAGTAATTTCACATCTTAAAATTAACATTGATACAAAAAAATAGAGTACACATTTACATTCCACAAATGTTGTGTAATTTTCATTTGCTCTACTTGAAAAAAGTTTATGAAATACGAGAAATATAATTCACGGTTTGCCCGAATAAATAAGATTTACTAATCGAGCGCCCTACTCGTAGTACATTTTTATATACTGTCGCGAAAAGTTGAAAATATCGAGTAAGCTTGAAGGGTCCTCTATTTACAATTAATATGTACAATTTATTGTTCATTTTCACAGTAATGTATTTTTAATGTTTATTTTATTTCAATTACAGAGGGTATATGTTTTGAGTGTTGAGACTATCTGGAAAAGAATGTTCTGAAGTACCAAAATTAAATAATTTTGTTACCGAACAAGATTCATAGTTAAGTAGAGGGTAAGTTTGAATAAAAACGTAAAGAAACTATTAATCTCATTGGTTGAGTGAGACTATGGCAAGTTCATTTTGAATTTGGTCATTGGGAAGGTGCATTTAAGGTCCAACGAAGAAATGTCTAATGTGTTTTATCGAATTTGAGTTAGTTTGGCTGCTTTGCCCCAATTTCATAATCATAGTGGTCCAACAATACACTTAAATATTGAAAATGATGCTTCTATGTTCATTTTTGATTTTTTATTAATTAAGGGATGTAACTTTACAATTTTAATAAATGTTTTATTAATTGGTGAAATGGAAAGTAATCGTGAGATAATCAGAGAAAGACATTGAATATTGTTTGAAACTAAAGGATTGATTATTGTATATAATTTGTTTAGAAAATAATTTAGCTTGACATTTGGAAAATAATTTTTATTTTCTATTGTTGAATTCATGAAAGAGCATGAAACAAAGTACACAACAAAGTTTATATGCACGTTTCTTTAAAATAAGAGAGCATGAACAACTCGCAAACTTTAAAATTTTAAAATAATGCGCACTGTCAAAAAATAATGCGAAGTAAGTAAATAACAGCTGAAAACACATCGGTTTGTTTCCTTACAATACAGTAAAGAAGTATTCAAAAATCCAATATAAATTCTTTAAGATTCATCTCTTGTTAAATTGTACCTACACATTGTACGAAACTTCGTTTGTTTGACGAGTGAGAGACAAGTGCTGAAGCCGAAAGTGATTTCCTAATGGCAAGCTGCCTTTCCAGACACTTAATCTACCCTTGTTGTCACCACCACGGAATTCACTTTTAAAAATGTATTTAACGCCAGAAACGTTTAAAAACTGTGTGTGATGTGCTATGAGCAGAAGTGTAATCTGTACAAGTTTTCTTAATTTTGGGATTTCTATCCTAAGCAAAATAGAAGTTGAATTCTGAACACAGAAGGATATTAGTGTTTTTACATTTGAAAAATTCTTAAACAAAGAGCAAAACACAAATATACTTTTTTAAATTCAAACGTTGAAACGAAAACAGTTTTCTGCCATTGAATTCAGTGTATTCACATTCTACATTAATATACCGACGATGTACGTTGCGTGTTTTCGCGATAAATAAAAGTAATAATTTACTCATAATAAGGCGAACCAGCGGCGGTCGCCACTACTGCCAGAGTGTGTGTGTATATATATACATACATACATACATACATACATACACGACTACCGCCGTGTTGACAATGCGGCATTGTCAAAGCAGCAATGACCGTTGGATTCGTTTGGCTTACCCATATTGCACATCAGCATTCTTGATACTGCTAGCAACAAAATGCAAATGGATAGAAAAATATAATTAAATATAATATAGTTATATTAGTCAAGACTGCTCGTTTTTACACGAATTACTCGTTATTCCCGCACCGTAGCAGGCGATGTGAAATTATCCATTTCCACATATAACTGGATTAAATGATGAAATTTAAAATGGATTTAATGCTCAGATAATATTAAACTTAATATTTATTTTCAAGATTCGATTCAGCAACAATTATTGTGAATGGAGTCGCGAACTTAATATCGTGTCAACATAGTTTATAAGTACAAAATATTTATAAGATTGAAGTAAATAAGTTTGCATATCATTTTCATTATTATTGTGGCGTCATATCAGTCGCCTTGTACAAACGTGACAAAATATTAGCAACGTGCATTTCATGTTCATGGACAACGCTGGTGTGAAGAGACGCCGGGCTGAACAATGGCAAACCGAGGGAGCGGAAGGGAAGGGGTGCCGTGTCGTGGGTGGCCACTTGTGAACCCCGTAGACCACTTGCGGCAAAATTGTAAACCCCATAGACAGGCTAGCTGTGGAAACGCGTCGGTGGAAACAGCGAGATAACGCAGTTCCGTCAGACGGCCCAGAAAGTAATATAAATGGACCCCGGACCTAAACTCCTGCTTCTGATTCTTGGGCGCGTCGGTAGGAAGTCGTGTGCGTTGTGCGCGGTGCTGCATTTCAATGCATCGGCTACTGAGGCAGGGAACTGAAGCCGGCGTGCTACGTCGAGACGGGAGGTGCGGCACACTCGCTAGGCTACTGGTGCATCACACCGAATAAGATATCTAATTATCAGGCCAGCGGTGGTGATGACCAGGAACATTCCTTCTAGTAACGGGTCGATATTGTTTATTGTAATTATTGTACATAGTATTCAGGTGTTGGAGCATTTTTTTTTTTTTCAAATAAATACTCAATAAATTACAAACCGTTTACGTCTGTGATTTATTGCCCCTGCAAAGACGCCACATTATGTAGAGTGGTGGCCTTCAATAATAATAAGAAAAGCAGTCAATAACCCATCCACAGTCAGTCAAAAATTTCATACACAGTTTTAACTGGCAATAGAAAAAATGTCCAAATGTACATTATGCATGAATTTCTCAAAAAAATTACTTTCAATTTTCGAAAATTTTACCAGCACCACTTTCTTTAGTCTATTTTTGAGGAACACATTTCATTATTAAAAAAATATCTCCATAATTGTTTTGGAGAAGACCCCGAAAAATTTTGAATTTTTACAATTTTAAAAAAATTGGTTTTTTTAACGAAAATTGCACTATTGTCTTAAGCGTCCTTTACTCTATCCGAGGTCAAAATTAATTTAAACAAAAAATATGTTGCCGTTTTTCAGGAAAAAGTATTTTAAAATGATTATATTCCACGAAAAATTACGAAATTTTCAAATTTTCGAAAAATCGTACATGATCTTATTTCAAATTATTTCTTTAAAAAACAAATTTCAGTAAATAAAACGTCTCTGTCTTTAATATTTAAGTTGTAGGAAGTCGCCAAACAAATTGAACTCTTGCAATTTTCGAAAAATGAGGGATTTCAACGAATTTTCACCATTCTCTTAAATGTCCTTAAAAATATACAACAAGAAAATTTAATTTAAAAAATTGATGCTTTTTTATTTTTGAAAACGTGCCCTGCGGTTTTATGTAAATTATCCTCCATAATTAAAAATAAGTTTCAAATTCAAAGGCCAAATCGATTGGTACAAATTCTGCTTACGTTTTAGCCACTAGCGTTGTTCACAGACGGACGGACAAACGTTTTGCTGTCAATCGATTACATTCGGACATCTCTTACGCACAATCGCATGCGTGAGTACTTCAAACATTATCTGATGAAGTTTCTTGAAAACTAGAAAGACTTCGGAGAAAATGAGCTTCGAATTGAGCTTTTTCAGATATGCTCAAACGAGATTATCTTAAAAATGGCTCCAACATTCTAATACAAATGCGCATGCAGGACGAGGTGTTACCCTTCTATAATATTCTTAAAGTAATATTTCAATTCTACTATAGAGAAATTGTGAAAATGTCTTAGTACCAATAGATAGAAGGTGAAAAGAGGATGTGTCAAAACCGTAAAGACAGCGCAGAATAAAGACGTAATCAAAGTATTAAGCACGAGAAAATCTGAACCATTCTATAGCACCACTAGTTACAGTTTTTTGAATTTAATAAATAAGCAATACTCCTCATTATGCGTTATCGTCAATTCCTGTTGTTCCATCTATAATATATTGCCTTAATATGATTTCATGCATATGACGTGTATTTAATACTTATGATATTATTATATCATTAAAGCAGTGGAAATTATTATTTGGCAAATATTCTTTAACATGAAGAGATTCTCAATTCTCAAAATATTCGTAAATAAAAAAGTACTCACCGTGACTAGCAGCATTCCCAGGTACAGAGCGAATATTTTAGTCGCCATTTTGAAAAAAAAACCAACAGCTAGGCCAATGTACAAAATGAGCCTGCCGCAGAGACGTTCCGTAATGCAGTTTGGAAGGGAACGCATGTCTTTTATATCTCGGTGGGAACGCTAGCACACACCTGAGCACACGTAATTACTGGGGCATGAAAATATTGTCATTCCTGTGATACCTTTCAGCTACATTCCTCAATGAAGAAACATCTGGCAACAACTCGTGTACCCCACATCCCACATTTCTTTCTGCTTCATTAGTGTGTTTCTAAAATATCATCCAATCAAAAGGACAAAAATGTACGGTATTGTGATGATATCTATTGGCTTTCCAAACATTAACTTCATTAACAAATTATCAACAGACTTTATCGAAGAACTTATTAATTTTATAATATTGCATCGACAAATTAAGTGCATAGTATAATTACTTTATATCACACTTTGAGAATCGTGAATATAGACAATCTTTGTGAATCGTGATATAGGTATGTGGACTAATATATCCAAGTACTATTTACCAATGTACCGATGTACTTGTACTATTTCTATAGTTTAGTTGCTGTACTCAGCATTTTGAAAAGACCAAGACTTTTTGCAGCCAGGTAAAGTATCAACAAATTTCGATTATGTAATATAGTTACAATTATGTTAAAAATTTCACTTTTCCGTTCTACTAAGTAAGTGGTAAAGACAAGTATTGTATTCGTCCACCGGCAATCAGCGAATTTTGACAGATAAAAACTTATTGCCGGCTCTGCTTACGAAACAGTGGATATATCTG